ATGAAAGGCTTTGGAATAATGTTACAAAATAAAGCCAAGCAACAGAAATAAATTAATCTAGACCTCAAAGTTAAAAAGCTTGCATAACATGGCCTTGTTTTTGTGTTAGAGAAGATATTGACAAAATAAACCTACTTTGCAGTTAAGGCAAACACAAGTATGGACAGATATAAAGTTCCTAACGTCCAGTGGCAAGAAAAATATTATGAAAAAATACAAGAAAAAAATTTGTGCAACATTGACCTCAGTGGAAATGAAGAATTTGCTTGGTTTATAATTCTTAGAATAGTTTTCTGTTTTCAGTTCTGAAAATTATTTTTTAAAAACTTAATTATAAAAAGTTCTATTTTTAGATAATTGTTTTTTACTGTTCTCTTTAAATTATTTTATATTTTTTAAAATTTTTAAAAACTATTTTCAGGATTACAAATTAAACATACTGAGTTTTTATTGTTATTAGTTATCTTTACGTTGCCGTTTCTTCGAAAATTATGTTTCATGATAATTTTCCTTTTTTATATTTTGCTTGAGCAACATTTGCTTAATGGACTGTGAGACTGTGACATTGAGCTTTTCATAATTATTTCCATTCTAGGACTCGGCGCAAAAAGTACAAAGATTCTAGAGCCGTTTCAACAAAGGTCAAACAGGTAATTAAGTAATTATATAATAATAAGATGAGTTGTGATAGCATTTGCTAGTGACCATTTAGCTCAAGACTACAACTCCATTCTAAGCCCATGGCCTACCGGTAGCAGAGGATCTAGCAGATAACACACACACACATATATATATTCTTTCAGATACTCTTGGTGCGGAGATTTGAACTATCAATCATTTATTTTGGAAAATTAAAAGGTACCACTACATTATAACTTTTAATAATCATTTATAAATAAATCGCTAGGAAAATACATAATATACTACCATCCCAACATCACTCTTTTGGCGGTTGATCATAAGTAGTCGATCCAATAGATCAAGATTGAAGAATACACCATATCATCCGGTGGATTGAAATCATATTTGTGAAGTTGCCTGTGAAGCCTTTGTCTTATTGGTGCAACATCAAGGCAAGGAAGATACCCCATACTGTGAAATTTGTGGTCTTCCTATTTGTTGTGTTCTCAGTTGATTGGATTATATACGGCTGTGTATGGTTGCTTCCAAAAGGAATGCTAGTGGATAAATTATTGCAAGTTTAGGTGTCCTCTCACTTTTGCAGCTAGGTTCAATTATCAACCATTCACTTTAAAATGAATGTGAGTGAAAATTGACATTTTCATAATCTCATTAATATTCAATACATCATGATGACATCAACCCTTGTAAAATTAATCCGATGTATTTGACTGTTGGACCCCTTATCATTACTACTTTAAAATACTTCTATCGTACTACGTGTGGTATATTATCACAAACTAATGTTTAGCAAAATACATTATGGAAGATTTGCAAATTTTGAAGTAGGGTAGTCCTATATATATATATATATATTTCTATGGTAAGAATTTTAGGGGCTAGTGGAGAGGAGAGGTGCGAAGGTTAGAAATAGGGATCTCAAAGACAACGAGGAGCAACTGTACCGTTTAGGCTACATTTGCAAAGTAAGGCAGTCCTATCTTACTTGACTCCCCTAAGTCCCCTTCATAGCCTGTATTTAGTTTGTAGAGTAGATTTAGTAAACAACTTTGTAGGCATTGAAATTAGCTTAGATTAAATGAAGGCTTGCGATAGTAGCCTCTCCAAGCCATCCCTCTAGTCAAGCCCGGACTCAGTTCAGGACCAATGGGGGCATCCCATTTTTTTTAAGTTTACATTATGACTTATAGTTTTAATTAAAATTTTAAAAATGCCCCCACTCAATTTTTTACACACCTTCAGGACCAATGGGGGCATCCCATTTTTTTTAAGTTTACATTATGACTTATAGTTTTAATTAAAATTTAAAAAATGCCCCCAATCAATTTTTTACACCTGCCCCCCTCCTTTCACATTTTTACCTCACTGATTTCTCCATTAAATTTTTTCTAATTTATATTATTACCTAAAATTTTAGTTAAAATTTAAAAAATGCCCCCACTCAATTTTTAAAATGGCCCACTTCACAAATTTTTTTTTCAAATTTATCCACAATTTTTTTTTTTTTTTATTCTTCCACAATTATTCCCATAAAAAAAATTCCTGGATCCGTCACTCCTCTAGTTCATTGTCAATGTGTCATTGGGGCTAAGGTTTACAAATATGATTTGCCAAAAACTAGTGTCAACAAGCATTTTCAAATCCAACCCTAGGAAGTGGGTGACAGTTATAAGAATTGCCTTATACACTCAACATTATTGTAGGACCCCCAAAACCATTGTCCAGAATGTGGATTCTATAGTCATAGTTAGGGATGGCAACGAGGCGGAGTTGGGGTGGAGTTGGCTAAACTCTACTCCACCCCGTTAAAAAATCCGTCATACCAACTCCGCTCCAACTCCGGGACGGGTTTATAATTGGTATACCATCCCCGCCCTTACTCCGGTAGACAAAATACCAACTCCGCCCCGCGTACTCAGTTTAATTGCGATAAAGTTGAAACTGTTGAATTAATTCTTGGACTTGGGATAGAATACTAAGGTCTTGAATCCTTGATTGATTCTTGATTGATTCTTAAAATTTTAGTAAGTAGTGATTCTAGCGAATATTTAATCAAAATATATTAATGGACACTTAACTTAAATATATATATATATATATATATAATCGGGGTCGGGGCAGGGGTCGGGTGGGGGCATCACTAAATCCGCCCCCACCCCAAACCTGCTTCGGGTTTTCAATTTTTTTACCATATCCGCCCCAAATCAATTTATGGAACTACCAAATCCACCCCATTAGGAGCGGAGTGGGGCGGAAACCCAACGGGTTGAAGGAAATTGCCATCCCTAGTCATAGTTGTCTATTTACTTTGTTTTAGGCTCTCTCTCTCTTCCTTCTTCTTCTTCTTCTTCTTCTTTTTTTTTTTTTTTTTTTTTTTTTTTTTTTTTTTTTGTAGTTCTCAAAAATTCCTTTTTTGGAGAGGGATATGAAATTGGAAGATGATAGAAATTTAAAAACTATTCTTAGCAAGTTTTCCCCTTTCCTCCTTCATTTCCTTCCTACCAAATCATGAATTTTTTTCCTTCACTCCTCCCAATCTTCCCTCCTACTAGGGTAGGAGAGAATATATATATATATATATATATATATATATATATATATATATGTTTTCAAAAAAGACAGAGATAAGAGAGGAAATACAGTTTTAACCACTTAAATAAATAATTCCAAAATTATCCGTGAACTATGTGTGTGTGTGTGAGAGAGAGAGAGAGACACACACACAGAGATATATATAGAGAGAGAGAGGGGAGGGGGGCTTCTCTTGCTCCTAGTCAATCAAACAGTTTTTCCAACACTAATAAGATATCTTTAGACAAAGAAGGTAAATAAAGAAAAAGGTGTTTGGTTCCCTAGGATTCACGCCAAGTCCCTATCTCAACAAAATTCACAGCAACACATCGAAATGAGCCACTACTACTCTATAAATTCTGATTCCTTCATATATATATATATATATATATATATATATATGTATGTATAGCAGAATCAAGATGGGCAACAAAAGCAAGAGAGGTAGGCCATCTGAGAGAGACCACATCAAAAGAAACGCTGATAAGAAGAGTATCACCTGTTGTCTCTTTGTGTTTCACCCCATTCCTATAGGGCTCCACCACTATTCTTTCTTTTTGACCAAAAACTTTCATTTTCTTGTTTTCCCATTCATTTTTTCCCCCCTCAAATGACAACATACCTTTTGTGTGTGTGTGTGTGTGTGTGTATATATATATATATATATATAGATAGTCATTGTAGTCCTCATATTGTTCATACCAATATGGTATATACATTAATTAAGCAATCATTCACACCTATCAACTACCAGTAAGCAAAAATAGAAGACCAAATTACACATTTTATGAATGTATATGACAAGGGACGAGTTTATATACAATTAATGTGAAAGAACAAGAAAATTGTTTTAATTAGGAAGTTGGACCGCTCTGTTTTTTTATTTATTTATTTATTTTTTTTTGAAGTGTGAATAACAGAGCTCAAAATACATGCTTATCAATCTAGTCAACCACTCTGAATAATGAGTTGGCAGAATTGACTAAAACGTAGAATACATTAAATACACAAATGGATACTCAGATCCTCTATTGTAATGATTCTAGTGTTATAATTTGTCAATGCATTATTCTATTTTTCTACGCATTTATTTTTACTTTTCAACATAAGATTTGGACTATTTGACAGAAGTAATAGCGATAAATTTAACCATAATGAACAGTTTACTTTGAATTTACAAAATAGGGATTTGTTTAATATATTATTAATAATTGAATGAATTAAAGTTAATTCTATATTTGACGGCACACGTATTTATAATAAAATAAAACCTAATACTAGAAAGAAATTAAAAAAATAAAAGAAACTTAATAGTAAAAGGAAAATAATACTAAAAATAAGTTTTTTAAAAAAATTTCTCTAAAAATTCTGAAAACATAGAATAAGAAACCTAGTAAATAAAATATACTAAATCTAAAATTTGAGAGCAATCCAACTTCATTTAGGCCTCGAACAAAAATTTAGAAATAATTAACCAGCTTCCTAACAGATAAGAAAACACCAATTCAGAGCTCTAAAAGAAGGTTTTCAGCAGAAAATTAGCATGATCCACAAACTGAAACTAATAAATTTTTCTCAATGAATTGTTTTCATAAAAAAAAATAATATTAATTTGTCAAAAATAAACTTGCCGAATTGTTCAAAATTCTATCATACATCACTCTTGCTGACGATGTCGATCAATATCACACTGGTTAATGGTCATTTTTACTTATACCATACTTACCAATACATTCATTAATATGAGTAAGATCTCAGTAAACAATGACTGCGTGAACATAACGCTTGTACGGTCCACAGTCAACCTCATTTGAACAAACGTACATTCTTACAAACTTTGCAATATCTTCAAATAAATTAACAAGCTTGAGCTCTTATTCCTCTTCACCTCATCTCCTTTTGTTGTTCTCTCTCCCTCTCACCATCAATAAATACTTCAATACAGCTTCATCAATTGCCCTTTCTTTCCATCTTCCTCATCTCTCTCTACGTACACACACACACACACACACATATATATATATATTACTATATGTGTATCACCCTAAGTTAAAGATGCTACGAAAAATGAGCAAACGAGTAGGTTTTAGTCCTGATGTCAATGAGAAGCCAACATGTTTACACAAGCACGGTGGTGGTCGTGGCAAAGTTGCCGTAAACAGGAAGAGGGTCATCGGAATATGGAGCTTCAGGTTGCCCAGAAGCTCGAGTTTTGCACCGGTGGGATTCCTAAAGCGTATTGCAGCTAAGGTGGCAAGAGCTCTACAGCTTGTGTCGACGAGGAAGAGGTCTTCGTGTAAGGTTTCTTCATCATCCATGAGTAGTAGTTTGGCAAGGTCAAGATCATATGCGGACCAGATTGATTCTCATCGAGCAGAGGCCATAGAGGACTGTATCGAGTTCTTGAACTCTTCTTCCTCTTTGCAGAGATCGAATTCCGTTTCTTCTTCTTGCTAGAAGTTTTTTCATAGTCGAAGGAAAGTATGTAAATGAAAGATTGAAAATGAAAACAAAGATTTTATGATTCGTTCATCACAAGAAGTTGATTGGTTGATGAGAAAATTCAACTACATGGCAGAAAAGTTGACTGTTGATGCAGTAAGTTACAAGAAGCAGTGAACACATTTTCTGGTCTTGCTCATGTAAGATATTCAGTAAAATTTTCTATAAAATTACATAGAGAATTGGGCATTCTAGATTGAATTCTTTACATCCTTTTCCCAATTTCATCATCTTTTCCCCAAGAATACCATATTTCAGTGTTGGGATTGAATTAGATTTAAGCCATCTTTATTAATTGGATATTTTCAGACTATTTGAAATAACTTGTCTATCAATTAACTCTCAAATGTGGTATTCTTGTTCAACCGTAATAAGAAAAAAATTGGCTCATCTTTCTCATGGCAAGAAACATGTTCTGTAGTTTTGATTATTTCATTTCGAAACAGATAGTATTTCAATATTTTTGAAGAATTTTAGCTTACGTCTCCCACAAGGATATTACATTTTTTTCTTAATAATTTTTTTTCCTTCAGATAATCATAAAATTAGAAGGCATTTTTATTGCTTTCATACATGTTCTTTTAACTCACAAAATCTTCTTCAACTTTTCTTTACTCATTTATGAAAAACTACTATCATTTTATTGTGATCAGATATTTTTTTAAAATTCATAAAATATGGAAGATACTGTGACGCGTAGCTGAGGATAGACAATATAGGTCTCATGCCCTAGTCCTAATCAAAAGCACTTGATTCAAGTTTGCCAACTCTGAAGAGAAAGCAGGTTTTCCAACGAACTATTTTTAAAATAATCATGAGATGACATCATGTTACCATTTCACATGAATGATTTCATTAATCATTTTGTCAAGCACCATTTGGTCCTCTTTGGTTGCTCGAGGTCACGTTTTCAAAACAATGAAACAAAATAGCCTCTCCCGTGAGAGGAGGTAAGGTTACATCCATCTAATCCTCCTCCCTAAACCCTGCAATGGCCGGACCTTATGCACTGGGAATCAAATTTAAGAAACAACTACTATGGTTCAGCCCCAAACCTAGAAAGATGCAAATTCATTTTGCTTTAGGCCGCTGCACCCATCCCCCAACAAAAAAAAGACTTAAGACAAAAAACCTCAATCCCATTATTTCTGCTATTATGACATTATAGAGTGTTCATAGTAAATTTAAATAGGACAGTTGGGGAGGAAAAAAAATGCAACAATAAAGAAATGAGTCAGAAACGCAGGATGAAAGAGAAAAAAAAATATCATAACATGTTGTATCAGATACTTGAGATGATGGTTCAAAATGCTTAGCAAATTACAGTTCACCAAATAACAAATCAAAGGAAATTATGAATCTCGAGTAAGGGGACCTGTTATCTTTGGCAGCAGTATGTAATAATTGTCATGAATGAGAACCCCCAAATGAAGGCATACAACAGGTTACCCTTTACCTATCGCTTAGCTCTTCATGCTTTAAAAACCAAACTCCAGCAAAAGCCTATGTTCAGCTTCCCGCGACAGGTGGAACTGCTGCTGGCTTTGAATCCTCGGCTTTTTCATGTTCTTTATTAAGCATCTAAAAGCAAAATTTGCAAAATCTCAGATATCATCTAAAAATGTGAATGCAATTACATTACCAGCACAATCTTTGAAGAAAAATTCCAGATTAGAACATCAAGAAAAGTCTTGAGTTTATGCATTCTCTTTAAGTATCCCCACCATAAACCCAATAGCAATATATACTACAGCAATGTCAGTAAATCCATTGTAATAAGTGTTGTCTTGTCTGTCATCATTTCCGTTCTGAGATGAAGGTTGGTTTTAACATAATGAGTCCATTCCATGAAAGAAAATGCCTAAAACACCACGTACATTATGTACAACTACAATTTTTGCCAGCATTTACCTGTACATTCAGCTTAAAACAAGTGCGTATAAGCATCAGCTTCTTTGTGAAAGTGATATATTTGTGTGAAAAGAGCAACTCACCTTGTTATTGATCAAGTTGTGGAGCGCTATGACACTTCGGATGAGGGAAGAAAGATATATAACCAACATCATATCATTTGTTTTCACTGCATATATAGAGGGAGAACCACATTAGATACAAGGAACAAAATAACATTTTACCTACCTTCTTCTTGTATATAATAACAATTTAATTACCTGCAAATGCCTTAATTAGCTCAGCCACGTTCAGATTTGGAAGAAGGTTGAATACGTCCTGAAATTTCAGTAGAAATCCAAACAGAAAATATGTATAAAAGATTAGATTGAATGATCAATGAGCCCAGGAGTAGATTAAGTAGAAAGAAAGATTTAGGAAAAAAAATAAGTAGAAAGAAAGATTTCTTGATGAAGGAAGCCTTAAAATAAAGAGAGAGTACTTGTAAATGATAAAGAATTTCATGATTTAAAGGAAGCTTTCCATCAACAACAAGATCAAGATAACCATGTATTTCTTGTAATCTTGCATCCAAACCCTTCAAGGCTGCAAGTTTTCCAGTGACCTGTGCAGGAAAATAGGGAAGTAACCTTCATTAAGTCTCCTTTCAGTCAGATGCAGCTGAAATGTTCACAAACTAACCTACCAAAGGGAATGAAAAAAGGGAAAAATCACAAATAAGAAGCGTAACTTCTTATTTACTACCAAATTAAAAGGAATGATCGCACTGAGGACTTAAAATTATCAAATAAGACAAACCTCGGTTGCAAGTGTGCTAATGGTTGTATCCTTCACGTCCCTCAGCAAATGCTCCACTCCTGGCGACATGTGCCATAGTATGAAGATCATATATCCACAATAAACTCGACTTGCATTCTCTAGCTTATTCAAATAGGTAAAAGACTCGGTGAACTGGAAAAATAGTTCATCTTATAGAATACCAATTTCCTCAACTTCATGAGCAGCAATTTCTGAAGGCACATGAACAAACACTTTCTGGCTTTTCTGAGTTGCATTCTGTAACAACAAGCAAACAATGAGCCATCATAACAAAATAAGTCCGATAATCAATCTTTCGTGATACTAAAATTCAATATCTGATCAACTAGGCACAACAGCTTGAACACACAGCTTCACAATGTTATTACCTCTTTAACCTCTTCAACAGCATAATAAGCCTTAGAGGGTATTCCAAGCTCCTTAGGTTGGACATCGATGATGACTAAGACAGGATTTGGAACATAACTGCAATAGAAAAAAGATTGACTGATGAAGTAGACAAACAGGATGAAAAGAAAAAGAAACCATAATAACAAAGAAAAAAGAAAAAAGAAGAGAGGTGATGCAAAAGAGAGGAATACAGAAGTTTTCAACACCAAGGTATAAACACGGGGAATGTTCTCTTCAAACTCCAGCTGCCCAGCATTGTACTTCAAATAAACATCAAATTTTATTTATTTATTTATTTTTTGTTATATTCTAACCCAGCAGCCATCTACAGGCTCATACTTTGTCTAAATAGCAACAGATGATTCCAGAGCAATGCCAGCATACTTTTTCACTTAAACTACTGCAGTATTTCACTAGCAAGCAATGCACTCTCCTAGAGGGTTCCATACTTCAGTTCAAGTAATTGAAGATAACTATTTACTCCAAACCTTTTTTTTTGTATAAGTAAATATGTATTACAAAGCGTTCAAGAGGGGAACGAATCCTGAAGACTTCACAAAGGCCGAAGCCAAAACAAGGAGCACCATCTCTGAATCTAAACTCAAAAGTATGTAGCAGTTTGTAGCAGTCATGAAGCAGTTTTCAGCAGTCCAGGCACCGCTAAACCAGTGAAGAAATCATCAATATCCTTAGGTTGTGCATGCTTTAGGCATGCTTTTCTTAAGTACTAATTAGAAAAACAATACAAAATTATGTCTTTAACCACAATAAGGCTAAACATGACTGCTATAGGCACACACACACACACAAAAAAAAAAAAAAAAAAAAAAAAAGAAAAAGAAAAGAAGGCTAGCCCAATGCACAACAGTCCCTCCATTGTGGGGTCTGGGAGGGTCAGATGTACGTAACCTTACCTCCGCATGGAGAGGCTGTTTCAAACCCATGACCTCTAGGTCATAATGAAGCAACCTTACTGTTGCACCAAGGGCCAAGGCCACCCTCGTAGTAGTAGGCACAACCAATATAATCAATTTCCCAGACTTCAATAGAAGTGCGAGGGTGACACATGGGGCATATTATATGTTTAGGTTCAGATTGCATCAGATATATGCACCGACTCATTGCCTAAAGTTAAGGGATCTGTTAAACAATCATAATACAATGACAATACAATTTCATTCAAACCCATCAGTCATTGACCAATTGTCGAAGTGAGATAATAGAACTATCAAACCCTCCATCCTTAAATCATTTAGGACTTCGCACCAGCTTAACAAATCATACTTCTATATTAAGTTTGTTCGGTAAAAAGGAACTTAATTTTCAAGATATATAATTTGTTGATCTTGATAAAAACAAAAAGACAAGATGTGGACTAGGTTCACTAGCAAATCTTCACCATCTTTTGTATTATACATGTCCAAATGGAAGGGGTCAAGCCACATGAATTCTTTTTTCCCATTCTTTCCTATTATACACTAAATCATAGAAATTCGACATAAATTTTATGACACCAACCCACCTCTTTTTCGCATCTGGTCTTGGGTACCGGCAATGAGAGAGTCAAATATGGAGTTTTTGAGATATCTACACCACTATATTAGTTTGTTTACAACTGTGTTTTATAATTATGCCCTCCCTATTAATCAACCAAGCTAAGGCTAAGTAAAACATGAAACACTAAAATATGAATAGAAAATGATAAGCTACAAGCAGTTAAAAAAGAGAGCAGAATACAGGAAAAGATGAGCATATGCAAAATCATTAGTCAAGTATGTATTAGATATGTGTATATGTTGCAGTAAATATATACCACAAGCAATTTATGTAATGACCTATGTGTGTGTGTGTGTGTATATATATATATATATGAAATACAGCAAGTTCAACGATTATCCCTAAAATACTCTCTATAAAAACTCAGATGAAATACCTGTGAATAGCAAAAGGATAATACCCAATATCTATTCTCTTATATATATATGTGTGTGTATGTATGCAATCTGTATAGAACTCACTATATATAACTATATTTATGTATATAACTAGCAATGGGGACACCCAAAATGCATAACTAGAAAGAGAGAGAGAGAGAGAGAGTAAACTTATCAACACAAAATTAATGGCATTGGCGGTGCTTTGGTGGTTTAGCCTGATAAATTGGTTTATCCCAAAATCTCTGATGATCCTCTTTTCTTTGTTCACTCTTGAGGAGTTCCAAAGGCAACTTAGGGTTTTGTGTATTAGGGTTTGTGACTTTTAGATTGGTTGTTCATGGCAAACCACTTGCTTTCCATGAAAAGCCAATCTAAAAGATGGTTTACTTGCAGAACAATCACATCAAGAGCTAAGTTCTAGGAGGAAATTAAACTTTAGAAGGGAGGGAGAGAAAACACAGCTGAATTAAATGAGACCTACCAAGAAAATCCTCACACGTATAAAATTGACAGGGTTTATAGTGAAAATAGGATCTCATCCAAACAACAATGAAAAAAGGGGATTGCCAAGCCAATAAACCATGGATCAATGATGTGTTCAAAGGCTGGATTAATCATAGAAAAGAAAATAGAAAAAAATAATTGCAAGGTAATGCAAAATAAATTTCATGAATGTTAAATAACAGTAGCAGCATCCTTAGTCAAGAATAAAGGTATGTGGTCTTACTCATTAAATAAACTATGAATATCTAGATCATTCTCCCGCAGCTTTGGGCCTGTACTATACCAACCAACGACATGCTCCTTTGCTGTGACAATTAACCCAAGTTCAATCAAACAATATTTACATTTTCACAAATTATAAAAGAGATGCTTCGTTATAGACACCAAGTTAAAAAAAGTTGTACCATTTATTCTCTTGAACATAGAAAACATTGATTCATGGTAGTTGTGGTCAAGAAACCATATGCTTGGATCCTTGTCATCTTCTTCAAAAGGCACTACAAATATATAATTAAACCACTTAGAAATACTAGTATTAAGGCACCATCAGAAGAAGAAATAGATTTTAAAAACAAAAGTACAAACATAAGAGTAAATAACTATAACTGGATTCTGTTGACAACCTCCTTTTTATCATATTTTTGAAATTTGAAATAATCCAAATAAAAGAAACATCGAAAGCTAGGATTCATGGAGGCTGCTGGATTGATGATGAGAAAATTTCCTGTCAAGAAGGTGACTATATAAATAAATTGAAAGTCCAATGTAATTCGTCCCAAGGCAAATTTTCCCTAGTCCCTTTCTTGATGGGGAAAAGGTTGGGGAGCCACTTTGATATCGAAGGTTATACCATTATTTGCTCTCATTTCTTAAGAGAACTAAGTGAACCCAAATTCTTAGGTTTGATCTAACAATACAATTAAACCGTCAGCATAGTGGGTATTAGCACCTAATCATATAAAATGTTAGTGTCATGGACACTAATTCTTGTTTCTATACTGAAATTTCATTATTAATGCTTTATCACGAAAGAAGAAGCCCATTTCTAATTATATCTTCTTTATATCTAGCTAAGATCTTAGACCCTTAATTCACTGTCGAGACTGTAATGCACAAACATTACAAATAAAGGTGCGACATACAATCTCTCTTTAAAATTCTTATGAAAGAAACCATTTTAAAAGATTCTGTTCTCTTCTTTGTCATTTATTTACACAATTTCCATCTCCTTCCTTCCTAAACTCAAAAAATACTAAATTTAAGTTTTACCGCCTATCATTTACAACATCCAGTAGCATTAATGTTAAATTTCTTCTCTCCATCCGAATTCCAATGATGCTTTATTATATAAAGTCAAAAGAACTATAATAGGTATTCTTAGTAATTCTTTTATACACATAAGATATAGAGAGGACAATTTGAATTACAATAATATATGAATGGTTCAATTGGAAGCATAAATCAGTAACGACAAGTTTAGATCTCAAGAATGGAGAGAAATTGAAGGACAAAAGGAGATGAGAAGGGAGGGGACGAACCTGCATAGCTGTTGGTGACATCGACGACGCCTTTGAAGGAACTGCCGAGGAGGACTCCGATGACACGCTTTCGAGTGTCTCTGGCGACTCTGTTGTAGTTGTCGACGATGCTGAGCAGAACCAGAGGGTGAACTATCACCTTCTCGATCGGCCTCGCCGATATTTGCTGCGATTTTATCACGTCCATCGCTGCTGATTTACCGATTCGAATCAATTTGTTGTCTTCTCTGCAAAACCCTATGTGATTCCTTCTTTTAATCTCCCCTCCCAGCTTAGAGTATTGTCCAAGAAAGGAGCCTTTCTTCTTATTATTATTATATATATATTTTTTTTATAAAAAAACAGGAGCAGTTTCACTTTAACTTTTTTTTTTAAAATAAAATTTTAAACAATACAATAATTATTAAAATAAGCGCTTCATAAATCCAGCATGGGGAATGAATTTAGTATAATTTTTGTTGTAATTTTAAAGGGTAAAGTGAAAATTTTATAGGTATATAATTGAATATAAGAAAAATTAGTGATATGTAACAATAACCCTTGTAAAGTGCCTCTTTCCTCAGTGTACGTGTTTTTTTTTTTTTTGGAAGTATTAGTAAATATATTGTACGTGTATATATATATAAAATAAAAAAATTGTCAATTGTCAACTCTCAAAATAAAAGATGAAGAATTTAGTGTTGAAGTCGTATGTATAATTTTTAATAAAATATCAAACCCACAATCTTAGATTATGTAATACGGAGTGGCTTTTGCATTGTTAAGGAAAAATAATATATCAGTCTTTTACTTAATTCTAGTCCGAACTAGAGGCTATTATGGGATATATTTGTCAATTTTTGAGGGATCGAGTTCGATCCTTGTGACCGAGTAAGAAACTAGACTTGACGTTGGTAGTGTGTTCTTAAGTTGATTTGATGTGATTTTGTTTTTTTTATTTTTTTTAGAAATAAAAAAATTGATTTTGTTAATTTGTGAAATAAACTGTTTTAATTTTATTATTTTTTTAAATACAAGAATTTTAAAATTACAAAAGAAAAAAATGCCAAGCATGCATTCACAAACCAAATGACGAAGACTAATATTACTTAGGTTCAACTCATTTAATAAATAATTTCATATTTTAAGCTTAGTTTGTAACACTTGTTCAATAAATGAGTAAGAAATTAGTCCTTATGTCTCAAACCCTTAATTGTTCATGAATAATTCAACTCAATTGCAACCTAATTGAATTCAATCACTTTATTATTGTTTTTTATTTCAAAAAAGGAAGAATATATTGTCACAACTCACAAATAACATTTAAGTGTAAGAAATTAAATTAAAACCTGCTAGAAAGGAAAAAATGTCTCTGCCTATTTAACAAAAGTGTTTTTAATGTTGAAAGCACCTACATTTAAATATAGGGTTAAATGCTCAAACACCCCCCTCAAAGTTTGAATTTATTGCCCTCATATTAAACCTCGGCCATTTTTGCTCTCATGCCCCTATAAAAATTAAGAAAAAAGTGATTTTTCTATAATACCTTTGCCTTTATTTAACTTTAAACTTATCTAAACGGGTAAAATGTGAAATGAGAATATTACCCTACACTCAATTCTCTCTCTCCTCCCTCCCTGAATTGCTATCACTGTTCCTTGTATTTCTCTCTATCCAAAAAAAAAAAAAAAAACACATGTAGAGGACGAAGGGGCAATGGCGGTCATGTAGGCACACCGTTATACACAACTGTGATGTTGGTTGTGCGGTGGATATGGTGGTGATGCCGTCGTAATGCCGGAATCAATGGACCAGAGACCCAGTTTACAGTACCACTACCAAATTATTGGTCGGATCAGAGAAGACAAGTTTTGATGAAGTTATGATGGAATTGTATCTCTGAAAAGCTTGCCAATATCTATGGTGACGCACACAACTGAGTTCGGTGGATCTGTGCTCATCGCTTGGTCATTCCAACTCGACTCATGCGGCAAGGGAAGAGGGAGGGCTATTTCTTAATTCCCATATATATATATATATAAATATATATTGGTAAATTATATAGGAATGACTTTGCAGAAATAGTGATGGCCATGGCTTCTATATATATATATATATTTTCCTCCCAGGTGGTTGTGGTGTGGTGGCGGTGGTTGGGGTGACTATGGTTTGTTTTCTGCTCTTCCAGTGGTACTGTGGTTGTGATGGTGTTTGGGTTCGCCATGGAAGAATTGTTAGGTTATTTTGGATCATTAAATTAGCATTATATTTACATAAAACCATGGAGGGTAATTTATGCATTATATTTTATCAATTTAAAAGAAAGGGGTGTCACGGCAAGATAAACCAAATCTTGTGAGGGTGTATTAACAAAATTGGCTGAAGTTTAATATGAAAACAATAAACTGAAACCTTAAAGGGTGTGAGAGCATTTAACCCTTTAATATAAATAAATAAATGTTGAGGCTTCCTAAATAATAAAAGTTATATTCACAAAAACCTATACTTTCCTAACCAAAAAAAAAAAAATCTATTTCATCATAATTGCCACAAAAATGACCAAATGTTTTATTTATTTATTATTTTTTAGTTTTTAGTTTTTTGAAAAGCAAGCTGTTTCAGTACTCAAAACAATCGTATACAAAAAGAAAGGGGGCATTCCTTCTTATTACATTATATAAAGCACAACCCATCCTCACAAAATATATATATATATATATATATATATATCAAGATAAACAATTATCACATCAATGCAAACCAATCAATACAGTACATAGATCAGTAAAATACAACAATTGAATTGCAACATCATAGACATTATGCAACATGTTGAATTGCAAAATACAACAACATACTTAATTATACAGCATATCCTCCCACATCTAGCCACAACAGCAGGAACACGGTGGGTTATCCTCGTAGGGCGGTTGAGCAGCAGAATGTTCATTCCGTTGCGCTTCCTCATCTTTTGGTGCTGATTCTCTATAAGGGTAGCACAATGCCACCAATATATACAACACCAGAAAGACACTACTTGAAACTGCCAGTGTCCAATAATATTTATCCAAACGACTCCTGTTTAAGGTGTCCTGGAACCAATTTTGTTTCCCTCCCTTCTCACTAACCTTACCTACTATATATGCAAAAAGAACACTAGCCATGATTCCAAGACCAAATAACCCCTGGGTAAAAAATTTCAGGTAGGTTGTCATGGACGGAGGAGCTTGATCTTTGAAGAATTTCTTAATGCTACTTTCAGATATTCCATCAACGGCGCCAAGAAGGACAAACTGTGGGAGCAGCCAAAATATGCTCATTGGGATTTTCTCGTCCGGCTTGTCAAGTAAACCATGGCTCCTAATCACATCGTGCCTTTGAGTTTCCACTTTTGCAGCAGTGATACAACATAGTATTGAAAATACCATAGCTATAGCAATTCCAGTTGGGGGACCATAACGTTTTGATCCCGATCCTCCAAAGAAGTATTCGATTTTCTTCAACTGTTCCTTTGAAAAGTCATAGAACATTAGAAATAGTGGAGGAGGGACGGTTAAGTGTCCCACCTTGCGGTTCATGTGGTTTGCTTGCTCAATAAAGTAGGTTTTTCCAATAGATATTACCACCCCAAAAATAATGAAGGTCATGCAGATTGGGACCATGAGAATGCCAATTTTGGTTTCTTCAACCTCTCTATCACTTTTAATGGCAGCCTTGTCTATGCACCTGCATTTCAACAGTGTTGTGTCAAGACCCTAAATAATAATAAAGATCCATCTTCTTATTTTCATAATAACATAACAATAGATCATTTAAGAGAAATAACTAATTGGGTACTTTGATTCTTCTACTTTAAGCTAAAGCAATTAAAGCATGGTAGTGTTGGTCTGATATCAAAAAAATAATGGTGGGTAAATTAAGGATTCAATTTTTACTATAGATATAAATGTTGGTGAAATCTAGAAAGAAAACTATTGGGTTATCTGATCTAGAAGGGAGGGGGAGAAAGTCAAAACCTGAACACAAAGACTCTGAACACAGTTGTGAGAGGGCTCCCTTGTGGCTTATCATGTTCGTATGAGCACGAGCCACTCACGAACAAAAGTGTTGCCACCACAGTGCATATTGATGGAATTCCAAACCGGATTGACCATGGCTTTATATATGGAAGTGCAATGCCTCCAATTATGGAAACAATGACCACAATAAAGAGGCCTGCACATTGCCATGGAACTTTCCTTCCATCCTCCTTTGTCTGGCCATTAGTCTGTTTCTTGAAGAATGCATCGAAAGAGACTGCGTGACCAGAAATCCCCACGGCTATCAAAGCTAAAGCGGTGTAATAGAGGATTTTTTGTGTGTGACCAATGCATTCTGGCTTGTATGCACTGCAGTTGCCTGTGGATTTAGAAAGAACTGGTGGTGTAGACATAGCCAAGAAGCCCAACCCCTGCATATAATCAAGTTCATTTGTTTGGGGTAAAGTGTTAATTCTTTAATATGCTGCAAACTATGTCACCAACAAAAATTGAGTTCTGAGGGAAAAGGAAAATCAGGAGAATCTAACGAAGAGTTGTTACTTACAATGCTATAGGCAATACTGGACACCAAGAGCATTGCATAGTTACCCATGAAGGTGTCTACAAGGAAAGCAAAGCCTATTTGCATTATGAACGCTAAGCCTCCCCAGATGTTTATAATTGAAGCAGCGTGCGTGAAATTAAGCTTCCAAACATTTGTTAAGTATGTCATCATCACCCACATGGCATACAATGCTAGTATGTCAGCCCACACTAGAACTGCCAATGAAAGGAAGCAATGAAGGAAACTACAGTAAAATAAGAGTTTTGCTATAAAGATCGAAATTATTAGTTGATAAAACTCTCCGAATTCAGCTGGCTTTTTAAGCAGAATTGGTCTAGTTAACATTTAAATTGCATACGAATTATTTTAAAAGTAGTCGATTAATTCACTCAGGCTACTAAGAGTCAGCAATTTTCAAAATAATATATAACAACTTGCTTCACACCAAACTAGTAATAAGAAAAATCGTCTTGCTCTTTCTTCATTGTGCATGATTTGGTCACAAATTAAACGTCTAAGAACTACATGTCATGAGACAGCTCTAATAAAAAAAAAAATTCCTCTGAATGGGTTCAGATGTCTTTTTTTTTCTATGGCGTTTAGTGGCCATTTGGGTAGGCAAGAAAAGGGGAATTCACACAGGAAAAGTGAAGCAAAGTAAAACATGGATCAATCAGATGAGATTATACAGGATAATTAATAGCAACGAATACATACATACATATACATACATACATATATATGATTGAGAAGAACAGACAGCTCAATTACCTGTAATCCTCACATAAGATGCCATTTTTCCGTTATCTTTATGAACCCCACTCTCTGCAGAAGCGGATTGCAAGAAATATATTAGTTCTACAAAACTACAGAGGCTACTAGAAAGTGTGGAAAATAAGGCAATAGAAAGTAAATTCTCAGTGAACTAAAGCAATTTAAAGAAAAATTAAATTAAATGAACCCATTCTTGTGAGTTTTTTTTAAGAAGGCCTACTGAAAATTATGATAAAATGCGAATTAGAGGGAGAGAGAGAAATACCTTTGGATATCAGAGTTCGGATCGCAATGTGAAGTATGAAAGAAGAAATTCCTTAGAGAGAATAAATGCTTTTGTCTTGCCAGCGTAAAATACGAATTTTTTTTTTTTTGGTTGCTAAATTAATCGAGTTTTATTACAAAGATACTATAATATGTCCACCGATCAAGGAATAACTGAAACTCCAATTTATTGATTTGTTTATTTATTTTCAGTTTTTCTGACAATGAAATTTACACCCTTTCATCTTCTATAAGATGAATAGACATCAAATTACGACCAAATTGAGATGTCAATAGTGAATGACGTAGTTGTAAGGGCTAGTAATTTTGTGGAAAAAATAAAATTCTTTGACCACAATGTTACTTAGAAAAACCTGAAAAGGCAAAAAGAAAAAGAAGGCAAACCTGAAAGAATAATGGAGCGTCAAAGCATCACAGTTTGTGGTAAATCAATATTGATATCTATTTTAGCTGTGCAAATAAATAAATATATTGATATACATATATGATTGGTATTTAACAAAGTCATAACACATGGAAATTGATTGTCTTGTTATAAATTTTGGTTATAATGCTCGATATGGCATATGGAGGCCTAACCTATCAGGTTCATTGATTAACTGGAAATCAACAATCAATCTTGCGATTAAGCTTGTTGATCTATAAATCCTTAGCAGATTTCAAAAAGAATATAAAATATATTATACAAAAGTTTTTAATTTAGGTCTGTACAAAAGAAAATTAAGCCGAGCGTCCAGATCTTCCAGTTCAGATTGCCTATAAGCATACCAAATTGCCACCACAAGCAGTCTAGTGTCCAATAATATTTATCAAGACGACTCTAATTGAGAGTACTCTGGAACCAACTTGGTTCTCCCCTTTCACTAATTTTACCCACTATATATATTGAAATGACACTGCCCATAATTCCTACACCAAATACACCAGTGGTGAAAAGAAGCATGTACCCAATCACCGTTGTAGGAACTCGATCGATGAAGAAAGAAGCAGTGCTATTTTCAAAAATTCCATCAAGTGCTGCAAGAAGAAAGTGTGGAAACAACCAAAACATGCTAATTGGGACCGTCTCATCGGGCTTGTTTACTAGACCATGGCTCTTAACCACATCTAGCCATCAAACCCCCACTTTCGCAGCAGTAATACAACATAGCATTGAGAACATCATTGACACTGCAATTCCAATCGCGGGTGCATACTGTCTTGATCCGGATTGGCCTAAGGCAATTTGCAATTTTGTAATACAAACTGGCAAACTGTGATTTTTTTTTTTTTTCGATAATTAAGGATTTGAAACTGTGATTTTCCTTTGTTGTAGAACCTTAGAAGGAGTGGTAGAGGAATCTTTAAGAGTCCAACCTTCTGTTCAGAAGATTTGCTTGTTCAACAAAGTAAGTGCCCCTGATAGATGATACGACGCCACAAAAGATGAAGGTCATCTACATTGGCATCATGCCCAAGGTGACTTTGGTTTCTTCAACTTCTCTAACCTTGCATAGTCTCCGTCAATTTCTCTGTTGTTGCTCTAAAGTTTGGGCTGGTACTATGATTGCACCCTTGTCCAAGCACCTGCATTTCAAATTCATTACAGTCATTGAAGTGTTCTTTCTTTCTTTCTTTCTTTCTTCTTTTCCTGAATACATATTAGTAAATTACTTAAGTTTGAACCCATTGTTGGTTGGCCTCATTGAGCTAATGGCACAATTATTTTACCACCATGGTCAATTTTGATAAAATGATATAACAATTAACCTATTTTGACTTTTCATGAAGTCTGACCCACAAAATATATTGAAGCCCTCCAAGATGGTTCGCTATAGATGGGTCCAATTAATGAGAACCTGAGGCCAGGGGTGTGAGGCACCAATTAGTGTAATGTTTCTCATAGAGCCGATTAGCATCTCTCGGGTGTCAATGGAAAATTTTGCAGGTAGAGGCCACAAAGACTAATCAGAGTTGTGATTGAACATGATCTGCTCAAGAACAGAAGGGTTGCCACCAGGCCCACCACCGTACATATGGCCGGTGTACTAAACCGAAGAGACCATGGTTTCATAAATGGAATTGCAATACAACCAATTAAGGGGAGAAGGACCACTGCAAATATGCCAGCAAACGTGCCAAAATTTGCACGAGCCCAACGAGGTCATATGATTGGACATTCCTATGGCTAACAATACAATTAAACCTAAACATATTAGCACCTTGTGGTATTAGTGCCTAAACACATAAAATGTTTGTGTCATGGACACTAATTCTTGTTTTATTACTGACATTCATTATTAATGCTTTATCACAAGCCAAAAAAAAAATACCATTTCTAATTATATCTCCTATATATATATATAGCTAATATCAGGGATAGAGCTTGGAATTTGTTTCGGAGGCCATATTAACACATGATTAAATATATATTTTTTTCAGCTGACAAACGGAAGTGTAGTATTGGTGCAGTCATAAAAAATCACGAAAAAAATTTGCTGTAAAATAAATCAGAAATATAAAATACGGACCTTAAGGGTCCTTTTGGCAACAAATTCTTATTTGCATTTTCGATTTCATATGAAGCAGCATCACTGAATTTTTTATTTATTATTATTTTTTTTTATGGTGTGAATTATCCAAAACAAAACATGTTTGGTAACTAATGTGTTGCACAATGCTTCATAAAAAAATAAAAAAATGAATTATTTAAAAAAAATGAAATTCACATTATATTGGTTGTTGTTCAATTACAATAGCAAAAACAAGTGAAAATGATTTTTTTTTTTTTTTTTTTTTCTTTTAGATTTGAGTCTTTTTCTAAAGATGTAATATTATGCAAACGCAACAACCGTTACCAAATGTGTTTTCGAGACTTTTTTTATCGTTTTCATCAATTTACCAACAAAAACACAAAACAGAAAATGATTTCCAACAAAAACACAAACAGAAAACGATTACCAAACAAGGCCTAAGTGTATAAAATTCCAGTACCAAAATTTAAAGAACAACAGAAAAAAAAAAATATAAAAAAAAATTGAAAAAAAAAAATGAATGAGGAGAGAAAAAAAGGTTACTGCACACATCATGGAATAATAAGAAAAAATTTAAGAAAATAAAAAGAAAGGAAATGCATGTTTGATGGAAAAAAAATAGGGTCTGATAAAAGAAAGGAAATGCATTTTTATTTTGAAGAGAATAAGAAGGAAAATAAAGAAAGAATTAGAGAGATTTTTTGAAAAAAATAATTGTAAGGGGGGACATTTTGTAAAATTTTATAAACTATATGCATAAAATGTAAAAAAATAAAAATAAATATTAATGGGCCAGCATGGGCCTGGGGCTGCAGCTCCCCCCTGGCCCCATTCTGGCTCCATATTTTTCATTGAAAATATATACTTAGATATCTTTCTATATATCATTAATTTTCTCAGAATTAATACACTTCTTTTTCTAACCTCAACCAAAGACTATAAGAAGGGACCAATGAAAAGTACAACTTGTAAATCCAGTGTGGGGTATGAAAGGTTTTGTACCGGGAGGAATCACTTGGCTGCTCCCCTCTTCTCTCTACTGAGATCAAACCTTTCCATGGAAGTTAAGACCAAAAAAAAAAAAAAAGAAAGAAAAAGAAATTGACCGTTCAAGTATTCAAAATTTGAAAGAAAGAGTTGTTTGATGGTCACGAACCACGGCCCTCCTTGTGACCAGGATTTAGTACCACATATCAGTCCATAGACCGAAAATGTTTCAAAAAAGGTAGGCATACGGCGTATGAAGAGGCCAAAAGATGGTAATTGGTTCAAGGATGTAAGGTGACCCTGCTTTTTTAGTGTAAGGGTAAAGAAAATGACTCGAGCCAATGTTTGAGTACTAGGCGCATGGGGACATGGGGACGTATAAAAGGAAAGAGACGGATGGGATTTTTCTTGCTTTTGGCATCGCAGCCCATAGTGGGCGGCCCGTATGGGACTAACAAGAATATTTGAGATAAAAAAACATCCATCTTAATCTCTCCTTATCCTTTATTTTCTGTTTCCACAAAATTGGGACACTTGAAATGTGCAAGCGTGCCAGAATCTCGGAAGATTCAGAGAGGTCAAACAAAAAGGAAGATCCTTTGGAATGATCAAGTGATTGTGAGGTTTCAGATTTGCCTTCGATGAAAGGACTTTAAGTTAAGACTACAATGCTATCTAGTGAATTGAAATGCAATACTGAAAGTAAGTGCATGAATGTAAAAGAATTGAAAAGACTTGTATTGAAATTGCTTGAATTGAAATACAAAAGTATTGAATGTTGATTGATGTCTTTGAGAGAGTTTGCAATATAGCCCTAAGCAAACTATTTATAGGCATTAAAGCCTTACAAGAAGGACCCATGTCCTTTTAAGCAACTGCCCACTCCTTCCTTACAAGAAACTTGTCTCATGCTCAACTGCCGAATTCCAACTTCCATACCCATGATCTATGAGTTTCTTCCGCTGTTGCCATGTGTCCCACGTTCTTCAAACTACTTATCTGAATATATATATATATATATATATATTACGTGTTTTAACTCCTTCAGTCTATTTCCTTTTGAAATAGATTCTGTATAACCCACGATCTCCTCAACCCTAATTTTTAGGAACTATCTTCTTAAGCCGTGTATTGATTGTATACTCCTCAAAGGTAGGGACTTCTAAACTGAACTGTCAGTTTATAGAAGTTTCATATATTACAAACTTCTTTAGCCCACGTCCTCCTTGTTTTCAGGAAATCATTCAGCCCACGTCTTGATAGCCAGCTGTCATTATCCTTCCATATTTGCCTTTCCTGATCTGCCAAATGTCTCCAGCGTGTTGGAATCTCTTTCCTTTCCAAGTTTGACATGTGTCAACTTATCATTCGGACCATGATTTAGTTCACTTGTACTCTTTTATTACACCATGTCATCATTAAAGTGGCCAACTATTGGCCTGCCACTTTTATGTGCCAACATTATGCCCCCCAATTTTGAAACTTTCTATCTTCCAGGATCAAGCCTGAAAAGATTTAAAATTTGAAATTTCCTAGATATCCGTAAAGGCCTTATCCAATCATCCAACCAAAATTCTTTCTCAACCGATTACTATTCCCGATTTGACAACCATCCACTCTTACTTAATGGCCTGCCACTTTTACAACCACCAACATTAAATGCATATTTTCCCTTGTCCCCTTTTTACCTAACCGACCTTCTATTATGCCATCTTCCTCCTTTAAAACAAAGTCTCTCCTTCCCTCTGTATCAAATCCTTCCTCTTCTCTTGAAGCTGTTCCTTCAATTCCTCATATGGCTCCCAAAGGCAAGTCTTCCTTCGACCTACCTCTACCGTCTGATCTACCAACGACCCATGAACATCAAGCAGCGAAAGCTATCTCTAGCCTTCCAGCTGATCAGGTTTTTCCAGAATCTTTCATCATCCTACCTGGCGACGTTAAATCTGTAGGTCCAGCTTTTCCTTCCAAAATTCCCTCTTCAATTACTTCCTTTTACCCTCAAGCAGAAGATTCCCTTCCTTTTTTGAAGAAATTTCCAAAAGCATCAAATGGCGACTTACCCATTTTTAACTTAAAAAATTGGGTTACGCCATTTGAAGGTTGGAGCGCTTGGGTTGATAGGATGACTCCATTGAAGGGAGAAAGCTGGAAGCAACTTGAAATTTACGATGCAATCCAGCTTAGCAAAGTACCCCCAATTCAAGATAAGTCTCTTCTTTGCTGCCCTATTCTTTTGGAGTTCTACCACAAATTCTTTACATCTAAACTGTGGCATGATGGCTCCTATCTCGAAAGATATCTGCCACTTGACTGGCTTAAAACCCATTGGTACTGAAGTAAATTGTCTTCTTTATGATCCTGACACTACTTTTAACTTTCCAACCAAAGAATCTGGTACAAAAACTTATGAAGCAGCTTGCCCTTTTCTTCAGGCCTGTATAAGGCATACCCCTCAAGCCGAAGATGCAGAACACATTGCCTTTCTACTTGTATGGCTTAATCGATTTGTGCTATGTGTTCCAGCCTTGCAAGTTACCAAAGATCTAGTGGAAATAGCCATTGCTTTGTTAAAAGGTTATTCTTTAGCATTGGCTCCCCTAGTTTTGGCTCATCTTTATAGGGGTCTTCATGATTTGATTACAACTGATTTTTCCAGAATGGGTGGTCCATTTTGGATCTTCCAACTCTGGCTTCAGATTTACTTCCCAAAGCTAGGGCCGAAAGTTAGACCTTCGGCCAATGATGCCTTAATTTCTTTCAGTTATGCTTCGGCCATGCCTAAACCTCAATCTTTCAAAGATTGCTTCACTTTTTTCTACCAAGGCTGCCAAACCAGAACTCCTTAACAATTCCTTCCATTTTCTTCCAATATTCAAACTCCATCCTGGCTCTCTCCTATCCTTATTTCCACCAAGAAACTATCAGAAGAACAAAAGTCCATATGGGCCAGCTTTTTGGTGGCCAGAGATATTCATTACAGTATCGCTCTGTATTCCAAAAATAACAGAGTTGGAGTAGAGTTCTACAACCCTGCTCAGCTTGCCCGGCAGTTTGGCTTACGACAGATGATTCCTCAGCCGCCGTGTCCCTCTTTCAACAGCACCTTCCATCTTCGTGTAAAATTCAATGATGAAGATTTTGTCAACACCGTGAGTAATAGATTCAAAGCTTTGAAGAAAATCTTCCAATTTAAGCCTTTCTTTGAAGATCCAACTTCTGATCCTGCCTTTGATAAATGGTGGTATTCCTATATTGTGAAAACTAGGGAAACAGATTGTTCTTCCCTCATTACCACTCAACTTGGTTCTTTCAAATTTGTAAATCCTGTCTTCCAAGGAACTGACCTTCTCAACAGTTCCAAAAGAGGTGGCAAGAAAAGGAAACAGATAGCTAAAACTAAAGCAACCCTTGCCTCTCCATTAAAGAAAACCAAAAGAAGCACAAGTTCCAAACAAGGTAATAACTCATTATTATAACCTCAATCATTCAAACTCAGGTATTTACCTTTTCATTCTTTTGTCAGCTCTTCCTGTTGACTCCGATGATGAACAAGATCCTTCCAATCTTCCAAAGGAAGTATCATCTCAGAGTCATAGTCAAACAGCCGAGACAACGCCTCCCAAAGGAAAGATTTCCTCAGCCAAAAAGGTATATACCTTGTAATTTCTTTCCTTCTTCCTAAGTTATATATTTATAAATTCAATTACTCACATTCTTTCCTACAATTAGACTCTTGCTAAACCAACCCGTCCAAAAGGTACCACAAGATTTGGACATCCCCTAGTTCGAAGACAACTTCCGATTCCTGAAGAAACTATTGATGAGAGAGAAAAAGTCCAAGTGCTAATCCGGAAGAAGAGAAAGATGAAATTGAAGAAGTAGGAACAAGTGAGAAAGAAGAAAACGAGGAAGAAGAGGAAGAAGAAGAAGAAAAAGAAAAAGAAGAAAAAATGGAAACAGAAGAAGAAGAAGAAAAAGAAAGAGAAGAGAATGATTATGAGGAAGATGAAGCTGCAGGAAAAGATGATAGTGAAGAAACTGCCCACTCTGAAAGAAAATCTTCTGCTAAGGTATTTCTTGATACTTTGTACTTCTTCTTCCTTCTCCTTTTACTGTTTATTAACAGCATTCTTTCAGGATTCTTCTTCATGTAACCCTCTTGATCCCAATCTACCAAGCCCTCCAAGATCACCATTGAAAAAACAGACATCTCTTACTGTCGTTCATCTAGATCCTCCTACTCCTCCAGTAGGGAAATCCGCCCAAATAGGAGCTTCTGGTACAGAGGAAGTAGCTGAATCTCCCTCTCTTTAGAAGAAGGTAACTCTTTATTTCTTTTCTTTGTTTTCTCATATTTCCTTAACCTCCTCTTTCTTGTGCAAGAAACTATTGCCCAAACTCAAACTTCCATGGTTGTCACTTCCATGGGATCATCCTCGACTTTCAGTGATTACTTTCAAGCCGTTGAGTCTTTGGTTGAGGAAAGCATGACTTCTTCCAGCAATGCTTTAGCCCTTGTTCCCAGTCCTTCCAACACTTTTGAAGAAGATAAAGAAACCTTATCCTTCTTCAACATGATTTTGCTGATCTTCCTTTCGTTGAAAACGAACTTTCGATGGCTCTAAATAAACTTAGCCAACACCAAGGTTTCTCAGTGAAGATTCAATCAACCATTTCTTCGTTCAAAGCTCATCTTCCAAGCTTATCCAAATCTATCCAGGAGTCCCTATCTGTCATTTCACAGGTGGAAGAGAAGAACAAGAAAAGAGATTTCCTTACTGATAAACTCAAGGGCTGTGTTGTTGCTTTCAAATCTCTCAAGCCAGAAATAAATAGGCTCCAAACTAAGGAACTTGAGTTTAGACAAGCCTTAGCTCAAGTTCAACTTGATCAACAAGCTCTCAGCTCCAAGCTAAATGGAATGAAGAAAGAGACTGAAGGTTATAGGGTGCAGTTTACCGAAGTTCAAAGTGTTCTTCCAAAGATGGAAGAGTCCAAACTGCAGGCTGTGGCTTCTTTGAATCAATCCAAACTTATCTGGACTGATTTCAAAAATAAATTTGTGGGTTTGTAATTTCTGAACAATATTTCCTTTTGCTTTTTTGTAGGCCAAACTTTTGGTCATGTGATGGACTTATAAAATCTGCTATAAATAATTGGCCTTTTGAATGACAATCTACCTTTTTATGTAACATGTTTACTCTAACTTCAATCAATCTAAAACAGCTAACTTATTTTGAACCATCTTCAAAAGATGGCTTTATTCCACCAGATCAGCCTTAGGAAGTGGACTGACCTTGGTTTTCCTTTTCTTCCAAAACTTCGTACATGGTTGGCCGATAACGTTTCAGATATCGGCCATTGATGGGTTTCTAATGCATTTTCCCATCTAAATCTTTCAACTGATATGCACCTTTTGATAACACCCTATGAACTAAAAATGGTCCCTTCCAATCATTTTCCATACTTTGGATCATTCTTCTCTATTGGAAGTTTAACCTTCCATACCAAGTCATCTTTCGCAAAGGTTTTAGGCCTTACCCTTTTATTATAAGCCTTCATAACCTTTTTCTTATGAGCAATTATATGGTCTAAAGCATGTAAACGTACCTCATCCAGATCTTCCAATTCTGCTAACATAGCTTCATCATAATCGGCCGGTATCAAGTCATTCTGAAAAGCAAGTCTGGCCGATCTTACATCCATCTCCATTGGCAGAACAGCATCATGCCCATATGTTAATTTGTAAGGAGTTATCTCGGTGCTTGCTCTTTTAGAATTTCTATCGGCCCATAAGGCCTCAGAAAGTGTTTCATGCCATATTCTAGGCTTCTCATCAATCATCTTCTCAATAATCCCTATAAGGATCTTATTGGAAGATTCTGCTTGGCCATTACCTTGCGCATAATAAGGGGTGGAAGTTAGCATTTGTACTCCTTCCCCAAATGCTAATACCTCATTTCCTCGAAAGACTGTTGCATTATCAGTAGTGATTGATTCTAGAATTCCAAAACGATGGAAAATATGTTTCTTTATAAAATCAATAACCGTTGCTTGATCAACAGATTTATAGGCCACTAACTCTACCCACTTAGTAAAATAATCAGTGGCCACAATAATCCAATGATGACCTTCAAAAGATGGCGGATTAATCATTCCAATTAGGTCCATAGCCCACCCTCTAAATGGCCATGGCTTAACAAAAAATTGCATTTCTTTAGCTGGAACCCATTGGATCGGCCCATGCTTCTGGCATGCTATGCAACCCTTTGCATAATCCATACAATCTCTTAGCATACCTAGCCAATGATATCCATATCTTCTTAGCAACCATCTCATCTTTATTCCAGCCTGATGTGCTCCACAAGTTCCTCCATGACTCTTGGCCATAACAGAGATAGCTTCATTTTTACTAAGGCATTTGAGCAAGAGACCATCTTCCACACTTTTCTTATAGAGTTCCTGGTCGAGCAAAATATACTGAAAAGCCTTTCTTCTAATTTTCCTACTTGTTTTCCTTTGTGGGTTTTTTTAGAAAGCTACAATTGAAATCCTCCAATCATCTTCTTCCATGTTGTGAATATCAACAGCAAATGACTCGGCCATGTTGGAACTTCTTAACTCGGCCGTTGGAAGGCTTATCTAGTAATCTTTACTAACTTTTCTTCCATCCCTTCTGGAACTCTAATTCCATAAGCTAATTGAGCTAAGTTATTAGCATCCTTATTATATTCTCTTGGCCGAAACTCAAGTTTAACCTCATCAAATTGTGCAGTTAACTGAGTGGCCAAAGAGTGGAATGGTCTCAACTACCAAATTAGACACCTAAACTCTTCCGATAACTGACTCAACACCAAATTTGAATCTCCAATGATATGTACACTTCTCACAACCATTTTAAGTAAAATTTCTAGACCTATAATCAATGCCTCATATTCCGTTTGATCATTGGAGCATTTAAAATCCAAGAAAAATGAGAAAGATACCCTTCTTTTGTTTGGGGCTATGATTACAATTCCAATTCCTGCTCCTTCACTTGTGCTAGAACCATCAAACATCAAAACCCATGGTACTTCAAATATTGTTGATGCCTCCAACTCATCACACATATGGGTCAATTTCAGTTGATGGGTGGTTGGCCAAAAAAATTGGCCTTGATAGCAGATACTTGATCAAGTCAGTTTAACAAATGACATACACCACAAACGGCAACATATATACTCTCAGCTTCATGGCAGAAAAATACAAGGCTAAACAAAGCTTTTCAATAGGTGTATATCTACACTCGACCGATGTCAATGTTCTACTTAAATAAAAAATAACCTATTCTTTCCCTATCTCATTGTCTTGAGCCAGCATACTGCCAATAGATTCTTCCGCCGCTGATAGATAAAGTTTCAGCGGCCATTTCTTCCGTGGTGGCATTACAACTGGTGGATTAACCAGATATTCCTTAATTTTGTCAAAGGCATATTGATGCCTTTCTTCCCATCTAAACTCTTCTTCTGGCTTCAATTTCAATAGTGGTGAAAAAACATGGATCTTTCCTGCCTGATAAATCTTCTAAGATACTGAACTTGGCCGATGAACCTCTGCAGCTGCTTCTTGCTAGTAGGTGCCATAGCATCCATAATGGCTTTGGTTTTATTCCGATCTACTTCAATCCCCCTACGATGAACCAAAAATCCTAGAAAATTTCCAGCAACCACCCCAAATGCACATTTAATCGGATTCATCTTAAGTTTGTGAGTTCGCATTCTTTCAAAAGCTGTCTTCAAATGGGCTAAGTGTTGCTCATTGGCCGATGACTTTACTACCACATCATCAATGTAGACTTCAAAAAAACGGCCGATCATATCATGGAAGATAGCATTCATTGCCCTTTGATAAGTTGCTCCTGCATTTTTTAAACCAAAGGGTACGACAATCCATTCAAACATTCCAATAGACCCTGGGCATCTAAATGCAGTCTTTGGAATATCTTCTTCAGCAATGTATATCTGGTTATAGCCCGAATGCCCATCTATGAAAGACATAATCTCATGTTTAGAGGCAGTATCTATCAATTGATCCGCAACTGGCATTGGATACTCATCTTTCGGCGTGGCAGTATTTAAATTTCTAAAATCCACGCAGACGCTTATCTTCCCATTCTTTTTTATAACTGGCACCACATTTGAAAGCCATTCAACATATCTGGCCGTTCTTATGAAGCCGACCTTCAACAGTCTTTCTATCTCCTCCTTCACTTTATGCACAACTTCCTGTGACATTCTTCTTGTAGGCTATTTGTACGGCCGATAACCTTCTTTAATCGGCAGTTCATGTTCTACCAACTCCCTTGATAGCCCTGGCATTTCTTCATAATTCCAGGCGAAGCAATCTTTATATTCCTTCAATAGGTCAATGATTTTTGCCTGATAACTAGGTTCCAGCAAACCACTAACATAAATCGGCTGATAGTTTTCTTCCGTGCCCAGATTGACCTCCAACAATGGATCCTGAACTTCTGCCTTGCTGTCATCCATTCTACATGGAGCTGATTCCAAATCTTCCAACTGTATTGCGTCCAGTTTTTCTTCCATATCTACTTTAACTTCGGCCATATTAGCCGAACATTCTGAAAATAATTGTTCATGCTTGGCCAATCTTTTCTCAGCCAAGTATGCTTTCAATCTAACACAAGCGGCCTGAAAAGCCTGCTTTTTTTCCCTCCTTTTACTGTGGTCCTTGTTCATCATTAAACACTTGAGTTTTTTCAGCAACTGACCTTAGGAATTCAATCCTCGGCCGGGACATCTCATTCGTTAATTCTTGTATGTCCCCCTCAGCCAACCTTCTTCTTGTGGTGGCCAATATTGGTCTTTCCATCTTATATGTACCTGTAAACTTAATTGGTACACAATTTTCATCATATAATATTGCTTCAGCCGAATATACCTTTGCCACAAAAGGTTTGTCACCGGCCTCCACTATTTTTACCTCGCTTCCATCCCAGAAGATCAGCATCTGATGCAGAGAAGAAGGTATACACATGTTGGGATGAATCCAATCCCGTCCTAAAAGCAGATTATATGCCGTTGTTGATTCTATCAAGAAGAATGCGGCAAATTAAGCTCTTCCCCCTATAGTAATTTCCAATGGTAAAATCGCTTTGGTATTAGTGGCTCCTCCATTAAACCCACTAATGGCCATTTCACTTCACTGGGGATAATATCTTCATTGCTTGTACCAAGTAACTTCAACGTAGTTACTGGAATAACATTCAAAACCGATCCATTGTCAACCAAAACTCTGTTGACCGGTTGTCCTTCTACCCATACCTTCACATAAAGCAGCCTTAACTGCTGGGTCATGGCCAGTGGTTTTTCAAATACCACCTTGTCAGCAGCACTTGTCACTTCCGTAGTAACCCATCCTTTCTTGGCCGTATTAGTATTCTTCATTGTTGACTCAGCAGCTACCACTTCTTCATTAGTGGACCTAAGTGGTTCTTCCTCCTTAAGGCTTTCCTCCACTTTCCTTCACGTAGTTACATGAAGTAGCCTTAAAGACTGTCAGTAGAACAAAAGCCATATTACAAGCCACTTCATCCAGAAAACTTCCAAAACGAATTCTATACTTAGGGGCATGCTTGGGATCTACATCTGTATCAGTTTCATGCCCCCCGAGTGTAGCTTCATCTTCAAAGACAATGGCTATGTCCATGTCTTCCGGTTTCTGCTCTGCTTTCCTATCTCTATTCTCGGCCGATTCAAAACCACCGTTTTGAGAATCTTCTTTCTTCCGCCCCTCAGCCCTTCTGCGCTGTAGCCTCCTCTTCTGAGTCCAAGTAAGGCCATACTTGGCTGGAGGCCTTTCTTTCTGGAATTTTGGATGTTCCAGCCTCTTCCGTCTTTCAAGCAGAATAATAGGTGGTCTCACCATTCGAAATTTGTGTGAAACATCTCCTTTTTGTACCCAAACCTCAGACTGAATCTGTGGTCTTCTTTTAAAAGTAGAAGAGTGTTGACCTGAACGTATCACCGTAACTTCTTTCCGCCGGTCATGAATCGGCCGTACATCCATCGGCCGATCATGAATATTTCTTCTGAAAGAATAAGAATCCCTTCTATGATCATGGTGTTGTCTTCTATTATCATGGCCCTGACGCTCTGGGCATCGGTCATCATAAATAAGAGCAATCTGAGCTTTTCTCAACTTCTTTTCCAAATCTGCTATTACCTTACTGCTGGACGATTCTGGTTCCGGCTTGAGTGGAACTTTCAGTATCTGCTTCTCACCTCCAATATCAATCTTCTTCCTTGGAATCTTTGGAGCAAGGCTGATCATATTACTAGTAACAGTAGTAGGAAATGGGTCACTATCTACTCCCATTACTTCCGGTTTCTTTTCTGGGAATTTCAACGTCCCTTCGTCTATGGCTTTTTGCAAAACGTTTCGGAATACAAAGCAATTATTAGTACTATGATTCCAAGAATTATGGTACTTACAGAATTCTTTTCCTTTCAACTCAATGGTCGTAGGAATGATATGTCCCTTAGGCAACGTTACTTGTTTATCGGCCATTAGGTGATCGAATATTTGTTCTGTTTTGGACAGATCAAAAGTATAAACTTTTCCAGAATCGGCCATTCTTTTCTTGGCAGAAGAGGTAGATGCTTGTCCACCACTTGTGGAAGATTTCGATTTGACCAAGACTTCACACACGTATGGCTTCTTGATATGGACATCTGCCATATTAATTTCTAAATCATCTTTTAATTCTGTTGAGAAGACTTCATAGTTAGGATCTTTGTAATAAGTCCCTTTGGAAGAATTCTTTCTATCTTTTTCTTCTTTGAGTATAGACTCAAATTTGCTGGCCTGTCAACCAACTCAAATAAGTCTCTGAACTCCATTCCTTCAAATCTCTTCCGGAGTTCAAAGTCTAGGCCATTAAGGGCTAGTCTAACATACTCCCTTTCTGGAAGAGATACACGACATTTCAATTTGGCCCTTCTGAACCTGGCAATAAACGTTTCCACAGATTCATTGGCAATCTGGCATAGCCGAGATATATCAGCCAAAGTTGCCTCTAATTCTGTCCGGTAGAACTGCGTATGGAAGAGCTCTTCCATCTGCTGCCAAGTATGAACAGAATCTGCTCTTCCATATTTGCCTTTCCTGATCTGCCAGCGTATTGGAATCTCTTTCCTTTTCAAGTTTAACATGTGTCAACTTATCATTCGAACCATGATTTAGTCCAATCGTACTCTTTTATTACACCATGTCATCATTGAAGTGGCCAACTATTGGCCTGCCACTTTTATGTGCCAACATTTTCTCTCCTCATTAGCAAACCAAACATAAATATCACTATCCCTCCCTTTTTTTTCTTTTCTTTTCCTTCCAATTCCATCAATCCAAAAGAAGCCTTAAATGACACTTTCATTATACCGAAAATGACCTTGACATTTTAAAGAAGAAAATTTAAAAGACATTTGGATCCCACCTTAGCATTAGGGCATGATAGTAAATTGGTTAAAATAGTTTATTTTCTTCTCTCTTCTTTACCTTTTCCAAACAAGAATTATATCATTTCCTTCATAATATATCCAGATAGGAATACAAGTTATTGTTATCTTTTCTTTTCTCTTTTTATTCTTTTTTTCCACTCATAACTAATGTTATCATTTCTTTTCTTTTCCCTCTTGTTTATCCAAATAAAGCTTAAGATCTTAAGGAAGTGAATCCCCTCGTGTTTGGCGGGATCCTATGCACCAAATGACAGCATTTTGGTGCACAGGCAATGAGCCCAATGCGAAACCGTGTTAGGGCTCTGTGCGACCTGCTTTGAGCACCATGGGGCGTTGTTTCGGTGCACAGGACCCCTCCAAACAGGAGGGAATCCAGGTTCAAATCCAAGGCTATGGTGAAATGAGAGAATATTGTTAATCACTTATGTTTGGTTGATTAATAAAGGAAAAGAAAGGAAATAAGAGTAATCATGCTTGGGTAAGAAGGAAAAGGAAACTATTTTAATGAATTTACTCCTACACCCTTTTCCATAGATTTTTTTTTATAAAAATAGGGCAAACTTGGCATTAACAAAATTTCATTAAAAAATTTAGCTTTTCATTCCCTTTCCTCCCATTTTTGGGAAGATAACAAAACCAACACATCATGCCTAATTTGTATCCTTCCGAATCCCTCCATTTCCTTTCTTTTCCTTTAAAAAACTATACCAAACATAATCTTTCATTTCCCTCCCTTACCTTCACCCAATCCCTCCGTTTCCTTTTGTTCCATTACCCTCCAACCAAACTGGGCCTTGGACAATCTTTCTTTTGAAATGCACAAATAAAGAGTACAGTATACAATCTTTCTTTAAAATTCTTATTAAAAAAAATAATAAAAAAAAGCGATTTCAAAAGATTCTATTATTTTCTTTGTTATTATTGACACTGCTTCTCTCTCCTTCCTTCCGAAACTCAAAAATCCCTAAATTTAAGTTTTAACCACAATAATACAAACCGGCACACCTGCTGGTATTAGTGCCTATCATGTACAAAATTCAGTAGCATTAACCCTAAATTTCTTATCTCCGTCCGAATTCCGTCAATGATGCTTTATTATATATTTTGTCAAAAGAATTATAATAGACATACTTCCTAATTCTTTTAAACACATAAGATGGAGAGAGAACAATCATTTGAAATACAATATGTGAATAGTTCAATTGGAAGCAGATATCAGTGAGTAAGTGACGGACAAGTTTAGATGCCAAGAGACTGAAGGACAAAAGGAGATCAGAAATTGAGGGGACGAACCTGCATATACATCGACGATGCCTTTGAAGGAACTCCCGAGGAGGACTCCGATGACACGCTTGCGGGTGTCTCTGGCGACTCTGTTGAAGTTGTCGACGATGCTGAGCAGAACCAGATGGGTGAACTATCACTTTCTCGACCGGCCTCGCCGGATATTTGCTGCGATTTTATCACGTACATTGCTGAAGATTTACCAATTCGAATCAACTTGTTGTATGTGGTGGCTTCTCTCTATCCCCTCCCAGTGTATCGTTCAAGAAAGGAGCCTTTTCTTTGGATATAGAAAATAATAATAAAATAAATTTACTACATAGTAAAACAAAAAAAATTAAATGCGCTCTTTTTATTAGTATATATTAGCCGTGTATACAACATACTATATTATAGTATATAAAATCGACGATTGTCACCTTCCAAATAAGAAATTCAGAGTTTTAAAGAATCAAATTAATATTAAGTTTGGTGAATATTTAGTAAATTTTTTTGAATTAATTTCTTTTCATTCCAAATTTAAGAAACTGATTCCATAGAATCTGTGTTCTTAAACATATAATAACAGAATTTATCATGGTATTTTGTCATTTTGGATAAATTGAGTTTGATTTTTTTATTGTAAGAAATTTTAAAATTACAAAAGAAAAAATATACATCAAGCATGCATTCACAATGTTCCAATCATTTAATAAATATGTTCATATTTTAAGCTTGAGTTCTTGACAATTAGTTCAATAAATGAACAAAAAGTTAGTATTTATGAGTCAAAATCAATTCAATACAATAACAGCCTAATTGAATTCATTCACTTTACATCTTCTTTCAAAAAAAAAGATATTCTCACAACTTGCAGGAAATATTTAAGTTTAGGAAATTAAAGTAAAACCCCTTGTGAGGAAACAATGTCTTTGCCTATCTCAGAGCTCATGTGCTTTACTTGCGCGACCAAGCGTTTTCAATGTTGAGAGCCCCTAACTACTGAAAGTCATCATAGTTCACAAAAAAAAACAGAATATACCATATGCAAATTCTCTGTCATCAGAATTGCCACCATTATTTTTATTTTTGAAAAGTAAGATGTTTTCATTACTCAAAACAAATTATGTACAGAAAGAAAGGAGGCATTCCTCCTTATTACATGATACAAAGCAGAACTCCATCCTCACAAAAAATACTAAAATACAATAGAGCAATACATACACATATACAGCACCACCACCTAAAAAAGAAACAAAGGAAGAAAAAGTTGAAAAACTGAAACTCCTATCCTTTCTGCAAACAGACCAGCTATCACTCACATGACAGTAACACACACAGCCCTTTCTTGAGCTCCAATAACAACTCAGACAAAAATCAGCACACCAATCAAGAAAGTACGTAAAATACAACAATTGAATTGCAACATCATACACATTATGTAACATGTTGAATTGCAAAATACTACAACATAAATCAACACTAAATAATACAGCATATCCACATCTAGCCACAACAGCAGCAACACTGTGGGTTATCCTCATAGGGTTGTTGCGCAGAATCTCCATTCGGTGGCACTTCCTCATCTTCTGGTGCTGATTCTCTATAAGGGTAGCACAATGCCACCAATATATACAACACCAGAATGACACTACTTAAAACTGCCAGTGTCCAATAATATTTATCCAAATGACTCTTATTTAAGGTCTCCTGGAACCAATTTTGTTTCCCTCTCTTCTCACTAACCTCACCTACTATATATGCAAAAAGAACACTAGCCATGATTCCTAGACCAAATAACACATGGGTAAAAAATGTCAGGTAGGTTGTCATGGAGGGAGGTGCTTGATCTTTGAAGAATTTAGCAATGCTACTTTCAGATATTCCATCAACGGCGCCAAGGAGGAGAAACTGTGGAAGCAGCCAAAATATGCTCATTGGGATTTTCTCGTCCGGCTTGTCAAGTAAACCATGGCTCCTAATCACATTGTGCCTTCGAGTTTCCACTTTTGCAGCAGTGATACAACATAGTACTGAAAATACCATTGCTACAGCAATTCCAGTTGGGGGACCATAACGTTTTGATCCCGATCCGCCAAAGCAGTACACCATGCTGAAATATATTATCGTGAACTGTGCCTTTGCAAAGTCATAGAACATTAGAAATAGCGGAAGAGGGACAGTTAAGTGTCCCACCTTGCGGTTCATGTGGTTTGCTTGCTCAATGAAGTAAGTTTTTCCAATAGATATTACCACCCCAAAAATAATGAAGGTCATGCACATTGGGACCATGCGAATACCAATTTTGGTTTCTTCAACCTCTGTAACACCACAAAGTCTCCATCTATTTTTCTCTTGTTCTTCTTTAGTTGGTGTTGGCAATACAATGGCAGCCTTGTTTAGGCACCTGCATTTAACAATGTTGCAATAGTGAATTTGAAACTGAGAACTGAAGACGATTTTAAGTTGTTAGTTCAGGACCCTATATAAGAATAAGCATGGATCTTCTTTTTATTTTATCAGTAACAGAACAATAGATCATTAGAGAAATAATTAATTGGTACTTTGATTCTTTTACTTTAAGCTAAAGAAAGTAAAGCATGGTAGTACTAGTATGATACCTTAAAGAATGGTGGGGCAACTAAGGATTCAATTCTTACTATATACATTAAAATGCGTGTGTGAGATTTAGAAAGAAAACTATTGGGTAATCTGGTGTAGAAGAGGGGTAGAGAGTCAAAACCTGAGGCCACCACTGCGAGGGACAGCCGGCTGTTTAAGGTTACATTTCTCATAGAGCTCACTAGCATTTTGTGGGCATTGATGGCTTATCTTGGAAGCAGAAGCCACAAAGACTCTGAACACAGTTGTGAGAGGGCTCCCTTGTGGCTTATCATGTTTGTATGACCATGAGCCACTCAAGAATAAAAGTGTTGCCACCACGGTGCATATTGCTGGAATTCCAAACCGGATTGACCATGGCTTTATATATGGAAGTGCAATACCTCCAATTATGGGGACAAGGAGCACAGTAAAGATGCCTACACATTGAAATGGAAGTTTCCATTCATCGTCCTCTGTCTGGTCAGTAGTTTGTTTATTGAAGAATGAAGTCAAAGAGACTGCGTGACCAGAAATCCCCACGGCTATCAAAGCTAAAGCAGTGTAATAGAGGATTTTTTGCGCGTCACCGATGCATTCTGGCTGGTATGCACTGCAGTTGCCTGTGGATTTAGAAAGAACTGGTGGTGTAGACATAGCCAAGAAGCCCAACCCCTGCATATAATCAAGTTCATTTGTTTGGGTTAAAGTGTTTTTTCTTTACTATGCTACAAACTTTATCGGCAACAAGAAATGAGCTCTGAAGCAAAAAGGAAAATCAGGAGAATCTAACAAAGATTTATTACTTACAATGCTATAGGCAATACTTGACACCAAGAGCATTGCATAGTGACCCATGAAGGTGTCTACAACGAAGGCAAAGCCAATTGGCATTATGGAGGCTAGACCCCCCCAAATGTTTATAATCGCAGCGGCGTGTGTCAAATTAAGTTTCCAAACATTTGTTAAGTATGTCATCATCACCCACATAGCATACGCTGCTAGTATGTCAGCCCACATCAGAACTGCCAGTGAAAGGAAACAAATTAACGAAACTGCATTAAAATAAGAGTGGTGATATAAAGATCGAAGTTATTGGTCAGTTAAGCACTGCAAATTCAACTGGCTTGTTAACATTTAAATTGCATAACAATTATTTTTTAACTAGTTGGTTAACTCACTCACACCAACGAGGGAGTGATTAGCAATTTTCAAAATAACACATAACCACTTGCTTCATAGCAGACTAGTAATAAGAAAAAGCCTCTTGCTCTTTTTTTTCATTATATGATTTGGTCGCACATTTACTTGTAAGAACTAGAAGTCAGACAGCTCTAATAAACAAATATTTTAGGCTAATGGGTTCTGGATATTAATTTCCCTATAGCTTTTAATTGTCATTTGGGTAGCAAGAAAAAGGGGGAATTAACAGAGGAAAAGTGAGGGAAAGTTTTCATATCGATTATGAATAGGTTAAACATGCATGACTATGATATGAGATATATAGAGTAATTAATAGCAACGAATATATATGATTGTGAACTATAGACAGCTCAATTACCTGTAATCCTCACAAAAGATGCCATTTTTCAATCAGCTTTATCAACTCCACTTTCTGCATGAGTAGATTCTTACAAGAATTAGGTTATTTGAAGAAAACTGTAGCACGCTAATTTCCCATTGAAAAAGACCAGAAAAAATAAATAAATAAATAAATAAAGCAATAGAAGGAAATTCTCAGTGAACTAAAGCAATCACGAGAAATATTAAATTAAATAAACTTATTTCTGTAAGTCTATAAAAAGAAGTCTTACTGAAATTATGGTGAGAAATAGAAGGTTGGGCAATCTTCTTCAACTTGATAACCTCCAAATCTAGAAATAATAGCTCTACCTCCAAAGGAGTTAACTGTTATGATTACTCAGAGAGAGACTAATACCTTTAGATATGAGCGGAATTCAGACCCAATGTGAAGTATGAAAGAAGAAATTCATTTTTGTGTGAGAGAGAGAGAGAGAGCGCAATGGAAAGAATAACACTGCGTTGACATGCCCGCGTCTTAAGTCTCCGCTAGCTGATATGGCGCTCTGGGCTGTAAACTCATTTCTTAAAAATCCCCCAATCAGTTGTTTTCAATTATTTCGTACAGTTTATAATATACATGAAACCATATACAGAAAGACCGTTGACTTTGAGTCAATGAACAAATTTAATACGGAGTACTATTATGTTTTTTCTTGTTGTAAAAAGGTAATATTATTATAATAAGGGTAAAGTGCCAAAAAAAAAAAAAAAAAAAAAAAAAAAAAAAAAAAAAAAAACACAACCCCAACTTTGTCCAAATTTACAAATAATCTCTCTGAACTATGTTTTGTGCATAAAATTCCCTGAATTATCACATTTAGTTACAAAATATCCCATTGTCTTACCTACTTTTCATTAAATGACCAAAATATCATTTTTTATTGAGTTTCACTTAATATATTTTTTTTGTTAAAATAAATTATTAAAAAATTCATACTAATTTGATGAAATATTCTTCATTAAATTTACATAAAAGTGCTTTTAATTTTTTAAATAAAAATCTTAAATAGAAATGTTTGAAACAATTTAAGTAATTCTTAATTTTCATGAATATATTGCATTAAAAAGAAGATATTTTTTATTTACATAATTTATTAATTTTTCATGAATATTGTTTGAAAAAGAAGATATTTTTTTATACTAAATTTTTTTAAAGTGAGTATAATAAGTTTTATTATAATAAGTTAATCATTTTAGAAAATGATAGCTACAAATTTATTTATTTTTTTTCATTTTTATAATCAATTGATACTAATTATAAAATTAAGGTAATGGTATAATTAATATTTAAATAAGAGAAAATATAATAAAAAATAATTTAATAAGAAATGACAAATTTAATAACAAAGGTGTAAAATAGTCTTTTGTGATGGGTTTGTCCTTAATTGTAACAAATCAATAGTTTAGGGGGGCAATCTTTAGTTCGGGGGATTAGTTCAAGGTTTGTCTTTTTTTTTTTTTTTTTTTTTTTTTGCACTTTACCCTTATAATAATGATATTTACACTCCATATGTCGATTATCAGAAATAACTCAATCATTTTCCTTTTTTGTTTCAGTTAATTTCATTAACACCCCCTTAGATTTAGTCATTTTTCACTTTCAAATATCTTTCGAAAATAACTATCAGTTAGGTCCATTCTCACTTTTCCGTCCCACTTCGTTAAAAATATGTAAAAAGACAATTTCCCATAATTTTTTAATCTCATTTATTTCTTCAATTCATTAATCTTTTGGGAAGAATAAAAATTTCGGCATCTGCTAATCCAAAAATCGTTTCTCGTTTAGTACCGGCCATGACAATTGGGTCTTGCAGATTCTGACGATAATTAGGTCTTACAGATTTCGACGATGAATGGGTCTTGTAAATTCTAGCAATGAGATTGGTGATGGGTTAAGACATTGGTGGTTGTGGTGGCGTCGGCGATTGGTGATGGGTTGGGATTGGGATTGTGTAGGTGGTTTTGGGGTTGATTTGCAGCGGTGATTGGTGACGACGTCTGTAATACCCCGATATTTTAAAGGATTTATTAATTGGCATTAATTACTATTATTTTATTTTTAAATGATTTGTTTGATTTAACTTTTTTTTATTTTTTTTAAATGATTTGTTTTATTTAAATAAGTGTGTAGATTAATAGTCTTGTTTTAATTAAATTATATTTTGTGATTATATATGATGATTGTTGGCATGTTGATTTTCTTGGTATGGTGTGACTTAGTTGTAAATTCATGTTTGTTAATGTGCTTCGTGTAATTAGTTTTCAATATTTTAAGTGTTTGATTCATTATTTTATTTAGTTAAATTAATTGGAATGGGCTTAAGGGAAATTGGAATAAAGAATGTGGTTTTGGGCTTAGATGAAACCTTGTTGGGTAATTAATTAGGGGCCCATGGTTATGAAGTTATTTAAAGGATGTTGTTGTGCATAAATATAAATATTATTATTATTTGAGGTTAATTAAATAATTATATAAATATAATTAATTAATAATTATTATGGAAGGATATATATAAATATAAATATAAATATATATATATATATATATATATATATATATATATATATTATATTTATGGATATATGTGCATATTATTTAATTATTTAAGAAATGAAGTATACGTATATATTATATATAATATATGTGTATATATATTTATATTTTTTGTTATTAAAGGATGATTATTACTTATTCAATAGTCATACTAGTAATAAGATTAGGGTTATGTATATAAATATACACATAAGGTTTTATTGTGAAAAGTTTCCACGTTAGAAAAATAAGAGAGACAGAGAGAGAAGAAAAATGATGTCGGATTTGGAATGAACAGGCAAGTTCTTTTCTAATTCTCCTATTAGGACTTATAAACCTATCACCTAATTATCGGAGTTATAGTTTTATTTCATATTTATTTTTTATTAAATTAATTTATTAATCAGATTATATGAACATGATTATTCTTTACAAAATTACAGATCGTTTTGATAATTTAAATCTTGTATGTGAGATTAGGTTATTTAAACTTTGTTTTTGAAATTTTTATAGTTTGCTTTAACTTTGTGTAGTATGATTAATTAAATTAAACAGATTTTAATTTAATTATATATGTTCATTTATGCACAAAATAATAAATAGAGCTTTTGGGATTTTTTGGAATTTTTTTGTATTTTTCAGAATATTTTTAAAATTTATTTTGTAATTTTTGTTATAGTCTGGAATTTATTTTAGAAGTATTTTTGTAAAGTTTAAATTAATTCTATGCATCACTGTATAAATCGGCGCATAAACTAAGAATTGATCCAGTGATTTGAGGCAGACAGCACTTCGGTGCGCCTCACATGAGGACCATATGATAATCCTGATGACTAGTGAATGATCTAGTGTGGTAATATGCATGGTAAGAGGTTACACCACTGATATGGGTCATTGTAATAGTTTAAATATAAGTTAGAATGATTCAGTGCATTGCAGTGTACACAAAAACGTGCGTATGTGCATATGGACCTTAGATTAGGTCTAGTCAACTTAGAAATTATCCAGTACGACGCAACTCATCAAAACTTAGAGTACCAGCCAACCAGAAGACGTCATGTCATCCAGAGGAGTCATTAGGCGTGTGTGCAGTGCATGAAAGCGCGTGAGGGCGCGTGATGACATGTGGCAGCTTGGGGCGGCGCGTGAAGGTGCGTGCAACATGTCTAGGCTCGTTTGGCGGCGCGTGAAAAGGTGTTTAGAGTCTTGGAAAGGTCCTGTGGGGTCCGGTTAATTTCCAGATTTGATTTTAAGCCTGTTAGGGTTGAAATCAACCACTAGTGGATATATTCTTAGGGTTTAGAGAGCCGTTAAGTGTTACTAAAATATTTAGTAGCATTTATTTGCGTAAAATAATTAATTAATAATTTTATTATGGAAGGAGGTATATATATATATATATATCTACAATTATTTATATATATATACATGTATATGGTTTAATTTAATTTATGATAAGCATGGAAGGTTGTAGATATAGATATATATATATATATATATATATATATATTTATTGATATATATGTATATATGTGATTTAAATAATTCAGGATTATTATGGAAGGTATCATACACATATATCTTATAAAATATATGTGTATATATATCATTTATAATTATTAAATATTATAAATCTTATTTGGTATATCTTGATTTGTATATGGTATGGTTGATTTAAAATATTAATAGAGTGGTTATTAAATTAAGGACATGCTTATAATACGCATGTGAAGTCTATGTAGGGTTAAGCTTATAGTTAAGTTAAAGTTAATACATGGTTGAATTGTAGATATGGATGAGTTGCCAAAGGTCTAAATATACTACCTTATTAGTTATAAATAAATTTCATATATGGGAAGCATGGTTGAGTTGCTAATTAAAGGTATAAGTAAATATATTTAAGGAAGCATGGTTGAATTGCTATCATACAAATAAATATATTTATAATGGCATGGTTGATTTGCCAATGCATAATTAAATTGTTATATGTTTAGATGATTAAAAGTTCATCTAAGGTTATTGTATGTATATGTTGGATTATGTTAGAGTGATCTAGTACTTACAGATTAGTGTATTATTTTATATAAATTAATAAAATAATATTGGTGGAGACACGGATGATTTGTCAAAGTTTAAATTTTGGATATGTAATTGAAATAATCAAAATTACTATTGTGTTTTAGATTTATTATATTATTCCTTTAATTGTAATTTGTTAGTTAATTGATTAAATTACTGTTTAGGATGGAATTAAGGTGAGTGGAGTTTCTTTTTAAAAGAAATATATATTGGTGGATTGGTTTAGGTATGATTATTTATTAATCATTGGTAATGGTTTTACAATTTAATGAACCTATTAATGGATAGGATTATGGTATATATACATATGTGTATCATCATACATTAAAGTTAAAACTTTATTAGGGTTGGTTTTGGTATAGATGATTTGTTTATTGGTTTTCAAAGGCTTGGTAGAGAGAGAGCTTGCTCGTAGGGTTTAACCTGCAATTTATTTTTCAGGTTAATAGAAGTTCAAGTCTCAAGGTTGAGAATCCGCAATTGGAAGACTTATCCATTCTTTTGGTTTATTTAAAAATATGATATTATTATTATTTCATTTGATATTAGTATTTATTTCTGAAATTCTGGATAGTAACTTTTGGTTAAGGGGTTCTTAAGTTACGAGATTCCCAAGTTGTAACCATTGGAGAGTTATTAATGAATTTACTATTTATTAGTTTTCTTCAACGTATTATTTTATTCTTTATTTCATTTTGTAATATGTACTTGTTTAAATATTTTAATTGTTTTGATATTATCTGTGATACCCCCGAATTTCCACGTGTAGGTTGGCAGGCCCACACCTGAAAATATAGGAATATTAAAATAATTTAGTATTTAAACAAACACAGAATACAAGAAGAATAAAAAGAATGAATAATTTACTGAATGAAATTCTATTAATAAAAATAAAACCTCCTTTACAAAAATAAATTCTATAAATT